CCAATTTAATAGTCCTGGTATTAATTGCGTTATTTCTCCTCGTCCTCGAATATCCGTTCTAATAATTGAAGATTAAAAAGAAGCAGAATATCAGTATCACTCATAGCACCCAAGGAAAAGCGACATTTTGCAAGAGAAATCGGCTCTGAGACATTCGCGAAACCTTTAATCTCTAAAGAGTACTTAGACATCGATCTCACCCCTCGATCGTGCTCGTTCGATACACCAAAGAGACTCCGAATCCATAGAATCCAGCGATTCGGGCGAATCCTATGAAATTCTCCAGAGAAATCAAGTCGACTCAGGTAACGTTGATTTTCAGAAATATTCCAGCTAGTGGACAGTAGTGTAGTGTACTCACGGCAGGAATTCGATTGAAATCCTCCTGGTCCTGGCCGCTACCGAAGAACAATGGCCGCGGAGAGGATTGCCACTTCACTCATCGCCGACTAACCTTGCACTAAGCTCTGTCACCTCGCTCTGGCAACGATAACAAAACTTGCGGACGCGTAGTAGTCGCATTTTAGAGGCCCTGCATTCGATCAGGGTACGCGGAGAGCGTGCCAGCGTGCAATTCTTCGCCACTTAGAGTGGGTCATTAACGATGCCCTCCACGATCCTTCGGGCAGAGCATATTTCTCTGTTTCCAAGGAAAAACGCCTATCGTGAGTCTTCACTTTCTAACGTCCATTTGCATTTTATCTCATTCGCATAATTTCCTTTTTTTTCTTTTCTTTGAATACAAGATTGGCTGCTGTTCGTACTTTTCCTTCCCATACGTACATAAATAAATAATTCGCGATATAATTATCACACGTATCACTTATGGTTACATTCGATGTGAAAAATGGCGTTTATAAAATAAAAATTTGTCAAAATCGTGACTTTTCGATTACTCAAAATCGTAGAACTCTGCATGCATGCATCGTCTGTCTTCTCTGTTCTCGTATATTCCTCGCTGCATTTCTCTCTCTCTGCATTTTTTAAAAATTGTTTTCTTCTTATTTCTACCTGGGAGAAAAGGAGTTTGATGGAGGACAAAGAGCATGACGGCAGTTACGCGTTGGTTGGCTGATTTTTATGCGTGTAGCGTGCTGGATCGTCGTCGTGATGAGAATTCTGCGTTCGAGTGAACCTGTCTGATCGAGGAAGAGGATCGAACGATCGGAGAGGAGGATCGAGAAAGGCTAGACGATGTTGGGGAACAGTTTACAAGTGGAGGAAGGAAATGGAAGATTGAGTAGTTTAGTTGTATATCGGAAAAGAGGTTGCGGAGGAGGCTGGGAAATGGAATCGAAAAATTGTGCGTTCGAGGGCTATGTGCATGGGCGTAGACTGGAACATCCTTTGAGAGGGTTCGTCGTGTATCCATCGGGGATGCAATGCAGGATTTATTCGATGACTGTGAAGCATGTGTACCTTTCATTCACGATTCTGTCAATTGTTTATGGAAATGTTTCTTTATAATGATGAAATAGTAAGATTTTATAAATACAATATTTATAATTGCAGAGGCATCTTCGATCTTTGTCAGATGATTTAGTATGGTTGTTGAATTAGGTGTGCGACAGGAAATTAGTCGATTAATCCGATTCTAATAGCGAACACTTAAATTTATGTCAAGATTATAGGATACTCGGAATATCGACGAATGTAAGATATTATGGCAACACGTAGTTCGAGGTATTAAATTAAATTAAATAAATCGCTACTAAAATTTATTTCAGTTTTCAAACAGTTTCTAAACCTGATTTATCTGTTATTAAAATGTAATTATTACAATTCAGTTATTAAAATTAATTCGCGCGAATATTTTAAGTTATTAAAGTTACTAAAATAATTTACAAGGGTATTCTAAAAGGTTCGATTCACATATTACCAAAAGATAGTTACTATAATTAAATTACTAGAACTAATTCACGAAAATATTGCAAGTTGCTAAAGTTACTAAATTAACCCATTCAAATATCATATATTATTATTAAAACTAATTTCAGTTTTCAGAAAATTACCAAACTTGCTTCACCTGTTACCAAATAATAATTACGAGAATTATGTCACTAAAATTACTAAACTGATTCATTCGAATATCATAGTACCGTTCTCAAAGCAATTTTAATTTCTGAGAGTTGCCAAATTTGAGTCTCATTGCTATTGAAAGCATTCGTTAAAATTAATTCGTCGAAATATATCGAGTAGGAAAATGCAGTGAAAGGTTGAGGCTTTCATGGAATTTGGTCGGGAAATATGTCTCGTTCCGATAAAGAGGCTGTAGAATACACGCAGGCCTAGTGGCCCCGATACTGGACGAGGCCTCCATTGTGCGAAACCCACGAAGATGGAGGTAACGTAATGAAACTAACTGGCTTGCTCTGACCAATTAACCAACCCAGCCACGGCATAATATTTAACGTACACTCGCCGTCTTCCCCTGTTCACGTGGCCGCTTACGCCGTGGATATAGCGTTACATAGAAACGCGTTGCAAGGGAATATCGCGTGATGATGAATTCGTTCACGCGGACCATCCAGTCGCGGGTTAAAAATGTTCCCCCGCGATTGGCGAGCGAAATATTCATGGAAATTCGATTTGGCAGTGAAAGAAATCAGGTCTTGCGATTTCAGCGATTTATCTCGGCTAAATCGAAGATCGATGGACTATCGTCACGTTCTCGGGTTATATTTGAAAATCACTGGAGCAAAGATAAATTACGTTCCCCATCTTTCTCTTTTTCTTTTTCACACGCAGAATAATTTTGTATTAAAAACCTGCGTTTTTATTTCGTTTTCCAATCGAACTTCTATTTTCATCGGTCTCTCGAAGGTTCCAGGAGTATCGATTATTGTAACACTCGGCTTTTTGTAATAAATATTTTGGGAATTAGTTTTGAAGAGTTCCTTTTAAAAAATGTGATCGAATATTATATCGAAAAATATATTTTTAGCTATAGGATCAAACTTCTATTTTCATCGGTCTCTCGAAGGTTCCAGGAGTATCGATTATTGTAACACTCGGATTTTTGTAATAAATATTTTGGGAATTATTTTTGAAGAGTTCCTTTTAAAAAATATGATCGAATGTTATGTCGAAAAATATTTTTTTAGCTATAGGATGACGTAGATGTTAATAAAAATAGTTTGTTGTCTCAGTTTGGGTTTTATATTAAGATAGTGTTATATTTTCGTAATAAGGGAAAGTGTCTTTTTAAACTATTTTAGAGAATCGTGTATTTCGTAGATTGTTTAATTAAAGGAATTTTATTTTTTGAAAAAGTTTGTTAACAACTTTTAAGACGCGTCGAGTGAAATTTGATTGTTATAAAGCTGTAAAATTGTGATTGCGTATTAACTTGAAGGAAAATTTCATACGCAGAAGATGCTATCTTTAATTCGAGTTTTCCACCTGTTTGCACGCGTCTGACCATAGACGGGCACGCTCTACTGCAGCTGCGAAGCATCTGCTCCACGTGAGCATTTGAATACGCTATTTATTTCTTCGCTATTATTGTCTGCCTGTGCTGTTAATTATTCTCGAAACAATGCAGAAAGCGTTTCCCATTTTCTGAAAAGCGTTTCAATATCTTCCTAAATTTTGATTTGCCGGATAACTACCGTGCCCTGAATAACACGTGATATAACTACGACAGAAATAAACGAATAAATATAACCTAAAACAACGCATTCAATTCTTCATCTATTATTATTATAAAAATACAGAGCCCGGAAATATTTCAACGAAGATTTAATTAAATTTTGCACTCTTCACAAAATCTTAACACAGATATCACACTTCAAAGTAGAAGAAGATCTCAGATACTTTGTAGAATTAAAAAGCACTCTAACTGTATTCCAAATACTTAAACTAAGTATATAAAATTCCAATATTTATAACTGTCTATAGTTTATAACTGCAAGTACTCGATGACAAGCAGTAAAACAAAAAAGAAATTATTAACTAGGTATCATTTATTAACAATAAATTCTGTCATTAATTACTAACACTAATTTCCAATACTCAGGGATCTTAAACTTTTTCCTAAACTATTAATCAGCGATATGCAGCAGTGGAAAAAAACTCGTATGAAATTAATTTTAGTATCACCTTATATCCTCCAAATTCTCAAATTTCTCTTACTTAACCCTTTGCACTCGGCGATTTTGTCGTTACAGGAAAATCGTAATTCGAAGACTTTCTGCCATAAGGTCAACGTTATTTCTAAAACGGTAAATAATAAATCGTATGCAATTTAACACGTAGAGTTATTTTACTTCGATATTCCACGCATCGTTGGGTAATTATAAATTTGATATTTTAATTAACATCCATCTTTAGAATCTAATTAAATGGTGACTGAGAGGCGCCTTTCGAGTGCAAAGGGTTAAAACCCGAATTGTCGGTTAAAATTGTCACCTACTATTTACTACTCCCAAATTTCCTCAACCACTTCGAACACCCGAAAAAACTCGAACTTCCCATAATCCCAAAATCCTCGCCACCACCCAGCACCAGAAGAACCCATTTTAAACCATCCTCAACCCCACATCTACCCCCGACTCGATCACCGCGTTTCCTCTGAGAACCTTTCAAATTGTTCTTCAGCAGATCGAAACGCTGCAATTTTTTCTCGAATCCTTGTCCAACGAAACATCTGAAACTCGGGATTACCCTCACGACCGAACCCTAGCATGGTTAACATCGTTAATCCAGCCACGAGTTTCGTGGAACGTGGAAAATACCGATCGTTGGTTTATTTGCATAAGAAAAGAAGATTTGTTGGGTCGCGGACGGGGGTAGAGCGGAGGAAGGGGTCCCACCGAGTCGTGAAACAATTTTCGTTTCGGAACAGCTCGTTCGGCTAGGCTGGAGGGTGGCACGGAAGCGGGTGGTGGCATAAATATTCCGAGGTTGCGCATCGTGGCCGACGTAGCTGGAAAGCCGAGGGAGGAGAGCAAGTGGAAGGAACACGAGGGCCCCGGATTCATTTCGCGTGCGAGCTCAGTGCGAGCCGCGCTCCGCACGAGTGTTCGTCCAGCTGGCCTCAGGGTGGTGGAACTTTCGCGCGAGGACACTGGCGGTGAGTTTGAATCGACCACCCTCCTTGGAATATCGTCATCGTACTTGTCATTCGCGAATTTCTTTCTTCCCTGATTTCCGATTTTTCGTCTGATTTACTACTCCTGCTTCATCTTCTTCCCGAGCTTCGCGTGGGGTGTCCGGTCTTGCTGCTTTGGGGGGTGAGGCAGGGGGTGAAGCTGGGAAATTAAAAGGGAGATTGAAGTTCGTATTTGGATAGTTCGGACAAGAAATTTTCGCGTGGATATCGTGTGCTTCGAGGGGGTGAATATTTGTTTGTACGTGGTACGTGTATGGAAGATTAGGGTAGATTGGGGGTAAATAGAGATTTCTGTGATTTGATGAAAATGATGTATCGGTTTTTACAAGTATTTAAATTTTTGGCTTAGGTTCCAGTCGTTCTTGTGGTTTAAGAGAATGAATTTCCGAATGTGTAATATTATATAGAAAGTGTTTAAGTTCTCGGTCGTTTGTTTCATCTAGTCTGCTTCCTCGAGCAAGTCTTGTTAGTTTCGAGTTGCGATAGTTATGCCGTTTAAACGTATGCTATTGGCTCACTGGAGCATGCTGCTCGAAGATATAATTCTCGCTCATCCCTGTCATTTCCACCCTCCATTAGCATCTCGGTACAGTGATAAGACAGTGCTTAGTCTGAATAGTAATATAATATAACGGGAATGCTACTCGCGATGCCTGTCCCATTTATCTTTTAAAACCTGCGGATTATTGTGTCAGGCTGTGCATATAAAATTCGCGACATTTTTACACTGTTATCCATCCACTGTGCTCTGGCATGAAACGCGAAACGAAATACGAAAAACACGAAATGGTATTATTATATTATTATCGATACAATTTTTTTGTTTTTTTTTTCTTTTTTTACTATGAACAAACGCAAATTTAATTTTTAAAAAATTACGAGCCGAGTCTACAAGTAGAGGTTCCTTCGAGAAGTTATCGACGTTGATGGAAAGGAAATAGAAGAAGGATCGATGCATCGAGCAACACGGCACGCTATTCGATTAATCGTCCCTTAGAAATTCCTGCTCGATAAATGGCCCCGATATTTCACCAACTATTCCCTTTTTAATATTCATCATTAGAAGAAAGTAAGAGGGAAGAAGCCGAAATAGGTCGACGCGTGTTAGCTGCATATTTTTTATTCATGTATCCACTTCAAAGTTGTCTATACGTTCCTCACCCTGATACGAACAGCTCGCTTTTCGGTCTCCTCTCTTTTATTTCTCTCACATTTTTCTTCCTCCATTTTTCCCTTTCTCCCTACGCCTCCCCCTCTCTCTCCATTTCTCTTACTCCTTCCTTCCCTTTGGCCTGGATATTTTTCACGCAGCTCGGGCAACGATGAATTTCCGCGCCGCGAAATTGATGACACGGGAGATAATGAAAATTTATCGCCTATAATAGCTGACGTTCTCGTCAAAGAGCCGTTCAATCTCTGCCTAAAAAATTTAATAATCATTAATGAAATTACATAATTGGATTTAAGCTTAATTTCATATACATATGTGTATATAGTAATCTCCTTACCTTAATATCTATTTCGAAATTCCAAGCTCGATCTGAAAAATTTGGGTAATAGTTAACAAATCTGTATTACGTTCATGGATCACTTCAAACTGCTATATTAATACTACATCAACCTTTTACACTCGAAATACTACCTTCGATTGCAAGAAGAAAGAAATATTTGATAAAATAGTTTGATATATCGATCACAAAAGTTTCACCAACTTTAAGAAAAAGAAATTCGAGTTGCTACTTTTTGCTAGAAAGAATAAATCCTCCGAGTGTCAAAAATGCCATTAAATGATACTACAGCTTATACTATGTTACATTTGCTATACTACTTCATAGACACAGTACTTTCCCTA